AATTAGGGACTCAATGCTCCTAGTTTTTCTTATTTTAATAGCATGAGTCTTTTGACTTGCAGAAAATTTGCAAGTCCTGACATCATGCTAAATACGAGATTCATTCTGCGACAAAGTGCTAACAGAAAGATCTAATATTTGTTTAGCTGACAAAACAATATGCATATCATAAAATTCCTTATGGCCACAGTTCAAAATTTTATCCAAACCCAGAGAAAACAAATCTTGCTCCTCCATGAAAATAAGAAGATCAACTGGAATACCTGCACAGGCATCAGTTTTCTTTTTTTTCATGAAGGAGCCGATTATACTCATCTTTGTTTGAATTCGCAGCTCCTCTACACAAGTACTTTCTGTAAGGGTACTTAGGCAAGTAATCAGGATCTGTCACAAATTTCCCAACACAGCGTGGAGGCAAAGATTCTCGCGGTGGAAAAACATCCTTCACCAACTTTCCCTCGGAGTACTTTTGTTTAGCCAGTGTGCCAACGGATGGCTGGCCCCAACTTTGTGCGAAACTAGTTTTTGTAGTGCTTCTTGTTGTATTTAAAAATACAATAAGTGCACATATGTGCTTGCATTGCTTTCCAAGTTACAACAATTAAATAATGTATTTGCTAAATCCATTTCATATTTTTCCAATTTATTTATATCCTTTTACCTAAGAGTAATTGAAACTCAAAAATGAGTCATGTGATGATCATCTGCCATATTTGTTGGTCGTCAAGTTTCACTTGAAATCCGCTAGAGGAGAGCTTGCCCGTTCCCTATTTGTTAAGAAAGATGAGGTTGTCGTTATGTAACGAGGTAACATTTTTATATAACCGCAACCTAACGCCAATATAAAATTGTTTACTGAGGATAGTTAACGGGGATAGTTTTTGCAAAATCTGGTACCAAAACTAGAATTGTTTTATTTGGAGCAGTATTTGGCAATATTGGTAGAAAGGGCATCCTCAACAGATTGGTAATTATTTATAATTTTGGATTACTTAAATGTAAAAAATGAAATTCTCTTAATGTTTTTACTTTTAGATTATTTTAGGTACATGCAAGAACTGTTCATCATTGTTTTCAAACAATGGCATGCCATGGGCTCAGCGTTGTTCAAAAGTATGATTAGTTAATTTTTGCGGTCTGACGTGTTTTTGTTTGCCGTAAATATTTTAAATAAATTTCTATGTTGTTTTGTCTTTATATTATGATTTCTACAATATTATGTTAATTAAAAAAACTGTTTATTTTTTGACCTCCCTTCACAAAAAACCCTAGCATTAAGTGGTTGATATGTTTTTCTAATTTGATTAAATTAGCGTTGTTCATGTTCGAAGTCACTCAGAAGTTGAGTGGTAATGTTTATGATTATATAACGGACATTAATTTGTTTAGAGGAGAAATTATTTAAAAACTTTCACTAAAAGCATTCATTAAACTATAAACAAAATTATTCCATAGAAAAACTAAAAGAGTTATAGTTCGTTCATATGTATTTAATGAATGTATAGCATGTTTAAGCCTTTACAAATGTATTACATATAAAATTAAAAATCCAATATAAACTTTCAAAGTCAAGGAACTCTAAGCCAAGAATTATGACACATATATGCATTCAATGAATATAAAGCAACATTTTCAATTAACATATTCTCTAATTATAATTTTTAATAAATTAAAAATCTAAAATAAACTTTCATTTATTGATAATGGGAGTTTGTAAATTTACTAAAATGGCACATACATACATAATGTTATCAGCTAAAAATCTAAGATCCTTCGGCATATGATGCAGAATTTTAAAAACTCTCAATCTTTGTATAACCCGTTCAACATGTATGCGCACGCTAGCTATAGAGTATGTTTCGATGATATCTTCTGGCTGAAGTAATCCGTTTTGGACAAACGGGAGATGAACAAGCACAGCCATATTCCTTAATTTATCTAATTCGGTTCGAATTGATGGAATCCTGAATACGAAGCACAATTAGAAACTATATGTCTTTCTTTATTCAGGTTCTAATTTACTTAATATTTCTGAAAGAACAATAATTTGGGTGTCAGTTATTCTGCCCAAACTCACATCACCTACAAAGGAAATAAAGCCATCCGGAGTGCAACCAATCAGCACCTATGAATAAATAAGAATAATTTAAGTACTTTCAAAACATTACTTATATAGTTACATTGTTTTACCTTAGTAGAGTCTCTTCTTCAAATTTTGAATTGTCAGTACAAAATTCAATTGATGGTGCATAAGCTGGATGTAAAATCATGGATGAGGCTTGTCTGCCCACAAAATGTAATTCGCAAACAGAAGATTCTTTGTAAAGAATGAACTTTGAACTATGAGTACATACTTCACTGAATCTATCCAACGAAGCCACTTGTCTCTTCGTGAATTTTCTTTCGGAATTCTAAAAAAATTCACTTTCTTATCCACTTGCTTATTGTACGCGCATGATTTCACGATACAGATACGCACCATTATTATTAGAAATAAAAAGAAACTTTATTGACAATACCTTCTAATCTAACCTTCTTTGACTAACACGTGAGAGCAATTGAAACCCACCAAATGATATGTCTGTCAAACCTGTCAAACGCCATCTTGTTTGGGCCGTCGGTTGCACTTTTTGGCCACCATGAGAAGTCACGGCGTACTCGCTGACATTTTTATGAGTTTGCCCGTTCCCTATTGTGTTACCTGGCTATTAATATTTCATGCCGTGTTAAGTAAAGCTCGAATCACACGGAGCTTGTTTTGTTGCTTTATGGCTCTGCTTGCCAGGTAGCTGGCTGTAGAGGGTCCAAAATGACGTCATAGCGACCTCGGTTTCTTGCCAGCATGCTGGATTTTAACATTAGAACGTGCGCTATTTTTCGAGATGGATTTGCCCGACCGGACCAATCGGAAAGCAGCATTTTGTCACATGGTGTATCACGTGTGTTTGACAGCTTGGCTGGGACAGCTTGACCATACCGCGTCTGTGTTTATTTTGTGTTTTTGTGCGTTAGTGGTAAGTCGTAAGAAAAAATGGAGAAGTAGACTAAAGAACAAATTGAATTATTAATTGATGCTTTTAAGGGGGAGCTTTGTTTATATGCCTGCAACTTGCCGGTATATCACAGCAAGTATCTTCGAAGAGAAGCGTTGGAACGGGTGTTCCAAAAGGTTTCAAAGGTAAGGGCAAATAGTTCTGCGGACGAGTGCCAGAAAAAAATTAAGAACTTGAGAAATCAATTCAATATTGAAAATTCTAAAGTGAAACATTCATTGAAGAGTGGTATTGGAACTGATAACGTAAGTATATTTTTCTTTTTTAGTTAATAATTACATTTAATAAAAGTATAAATACCTAACTAAAATTTAAAATTATTTTCAGGTTTATAAACCAAGCCTTTGGTATTTTAATAGTTTAAAGTTTCTGGAGACATATGTGACCCCGAGGAAAAGTAGAAACTCTATTGAACCTTTGGTTCAGCTTCAGGAATCACAGAGTTCGGTAAGTGCACTTACTACTGATAGCAGAATATCTAACAATTGGTAATAAATTAAATGAGCTTAATGTTGAAGTTGAAGTGCATATTTTTTACTTCATTTTACAATACAAAATTAATGCTATTTTTTAGAGTATTGTCACAGAATGTATGTCGTATGAAATGGAATATCCTGTGCAGATCGATTATGATGTTAACATGTTGACTGAAGTGGATGATACACAACCATCTCCAGATGTACAAGAAACACCAGCTAAACGTAAGAAGAGAAATAAGCGGGACTTCGATTCTGAAACAGCTTTCGAAATCCTTGAAAAACTGACAGAAACTTTGAAGGTTCCTCTTTCTGAACCCATCGAGAACATTATATTGGATGCTAAAAAAGAAAATAATGCCTGGGAAGCCAGTCTAATGGGCCGATTCTCGGTTTCAATTTTACGACAAGTTCACACTTATTTCGTTTAAAATGTCATTATAAGTGTAACACTTATTCTCGGCGGTATGTGTTTTATCATATGATAACATTAATGTTACGCTAATCCTCTGAAAATAAACGTAGTCAGAAACACGCACTTATGCATAACATTGGCGAGAAGTTGCACTATGAACAGATTTGACATTTGCTATTTTGACATTATGCGTTTAACATCTTTTTTGAGGTTATGTTAGCGCCGTAGAGATAGATTATTGCCGATTTCGAGAGTACAAACACAGAGAGCCAACATCAAAAAACCAAAAACTTTGTTTGCTCATGCTACGCCATGACACGATTCATTCTCATAAAATAGGTGCGCCGAAAATAACTAATCATGTTATGCTACCACGCAAGTGCGATAACAGAGCGTAGCCATGTTAAGGCAGAATCGGTCCATAAGTGCAAATAATAAATAAAATAAAATATTTTGAAATATTAAACCATTTTTTCATTTTTGTAAGGAAATTTTACTTTCAGCAATCATTATATTTCCTATTGTACACCTAAGTCTGTTTTTACATGGTAGATTTTAATTTAAACATATAATTTTAATATATTAAATATATTAACATAATTGCTGTCGTCATCAGTTATTTGCTGTATTTTTTTGTGATATGAACATACTTCGCAAAAATTAAATTTGACAAAAAAAATTTAAGTACATAAAATTTCAAATCGTGCTAAATGGAATAAAATCGTGTAAAAAAATTAAAAATATTCAATTTTCAAACCGTGTAAAAACAGACTTAGGTGTAATTATATTTTTATGCAAAGTATTTTGATAATAACCATTTTTAAACATTAAACCATTTTTGTAAGGGCATTTTATTTTCAGCCCTTTTAGAAGAACCCATTCAAACCCTTTTTAGAAGAAACATTTCATTTTAATTATAACATAAGCATAAGAATGTATAATATGTATCAAATAAATCATATTCATTTTTAAACAAAAAAACATTTTTTGATTTGGAAGAAACATTTTATTTTAATTAACAATCAGTAATATATAATATATAGTAATAAATGAGACCTATCGATGTCCTTTTGTAACAGCAGAATGCTGAAAAGGAACCGTTCCTTCATTATTAAAATAATAACAAAATTTATCCCGAATTTGTAGAGCATCATCACTACTCCGATTTGATGATTCTGAAGGGTTTGTAGAAACCTTCATCTCAGTAACATTTGTCTGAAAATTAGACTCGTGTGAATTGCTAGGTACATACCAGTGGCATGCACTTTTCTTCGATAATATGTAATTATGCAGCAGTATGCATGCATATGTTATTGTTTCCACTCTTTTCACATCCAATGGTATCGTTGTCAATAGAATACGCCATCTGTTCGCCAAGATCCCAAAGGCATTCTCCACAACCCTCCGAGCCCTGCTCAACCTATAGTTGAAAATCTTCTTTTCATACATCAGACCCCTATCTGGATATGGTTTTAAAAGGTTCTCCTTCAAACAGAATGCATCATCACCAACTATTACATAAGGTAATTTATAATTTGCATTTGGCAACTCTATTGATGAAGGTAAATTCAAACCCTTGTTTTCCATTTTCATTCCTAATACGCTGGTTCGAAAAACAGTTGAGTCGTGAGTACGACCATTTCGCCCAACATCCACAAGTAAAAATTTATATTCTGCATCAACAAGAGCTAATAGTATAATGCTGTCGCTTCCCTTATAGTTTCTGTATTTGGAACCTTCTTTCCGGGCTGGGCGAAAATTAATATGTTTTCCATCTAATGCACCGACACAGTGAGGAAAGTTCCAAGACATTTCAAATTTTTGTGCTATTACCTTCCAATCCTCCGCTGATGCAGGAAAAGTAATTGCTCTACTCTGCAGCACGATTATAATAGCTTCTAACGTTTCTTGAACAACTTTAGAAATTGTGTTAGGTGCCATTCGAGTAGAGTAGCTCAGATCCTTGAATGTGTTACCTGTTGCTAGGTACCGAATGGTCACAGAAAGCCTTCTCTTTGGCGATATAGCTTCTCGCATCACCGTGTTCTGTTTTACAATTAAAGGTTCGACAAGTGCCAACAACTCATTCCAAACAGGTTCCTTCATCCTCGTGTAATTCGCGAAGCTTGAAGGATCTTCTGGACTAAAATATTCAATATACTCATAAGTCTATAATATTTCAGCAATATTTAAATATCAAATAAATAAAGTAGACTTACCCAAGTTCATTAAACAGCATACTTAATACACAATTTTCCTGGTCACGCCTCAAGAGCCACGAACGACTCCACACACGCTTTCTTGACCGGCTTTGTTTATGGAATGTTGTCAAAGTTCTTAAATAAGCGTACACTATAGCACGTTTACGGTTAAGAATTTGTACAGATGCACTGTCCATTTTTATCACTTTTGAGGTTATGTCGCACGCTACCGATTCACTCAAACACCAACGCTCAAAAACAAGCCTCGTGTTATGCATACGGCTTGAAAAATATCATGATTTACAGCGCCGTCATCGGCGAAAAAATCAAGCTGGAAATCCAGCGTCAGAAAACAAGTCTCGTGTGATTCGGGCTTAACGGCAACATTGTTAAGTTGCGGTAACTTACGGCAATGTACCTATGCGATATGAATCAGCAATTTTTGCAATGCTTTCAATTTATGCGTAAATAAGTAATTTTTTTCTCAAAAAGAAAGATTTACTAATCTTTCATTGTATTTATTATTTAAAGTTAGTATTTTACAATAAACAAAGTAGCAACAGAAATTGCCCGGTTGCTCACAGTTGACACACTAGTGACAGTAATTGTGACACTAGTGATAGTGTTAACACCCAGTCGGATTCTGATAGCAGTACGTCTTTCCCTGAAGATACATCGTTTACAAGCACCACAAATAATATGAGTAATGTTATTAACAAATCGAAGGTTCTGAAAATATAGACATTGTTTCCGACATACGCTTTTGGGCTAAACAGCAGAATGTGAGCCATAAGCAATTGAATACTTTGCTGCCAATTCTGAGAAAGCATGGCCATCAGAACGTGCCCCTATGTGCAAAAACAATATTGAAAAGACCCACAGTGGTTGCAAATACAACTATGGCCAGCAAGCGTGGCAATGTGGGCGAATACGTGCATTTCAACATAAAGGACAATATTAATAAAAATTTAAATCTTTTAAAAATCATATAGTGATAACTTAATAAATCTTTTAATTAATTTTGATAGGGTATCAGTTTTCAAAAGTAAGTCATCACAGTTCTGACCTATTTTGGGATCTCTATATACAAAACATCACATTCCATTAAGCCGTTTGTAATTGGATTCTACTTTGAAGATAGTAAACCCGACTGTGTAAGTACGTATTTAAAAGATTTATAAATGATTCCAATGATCTTTATAATTCTGGTTTGATTCATGAGAATGTTCTGTATAAAGTCAAAATACACAAAATTTGTTGTGATGCTCCTGTCAGGGCTTATATAAAGTGCACAAAGGGAAGATTACATGTCAGTGCTAGAAAAAGAAGATAATCATCAACTTGATAGGTCTTCATTATTGAACCTTGCTGGAATAAATTTTGTGGAAGATTTTCCTTTGGACTATATTTTTGAGCATATCTGTATCCGTGCTGAAATGTAGGTTTTTAAACACTATTTTAAACGTTCTTTTACATTTCTATTTTTGCTTCACATTCTAAAGGTTGCGCTAATGGTTTGATATTACGTACCTTATCTATAAAAATTGGCTGTGGTCTGCTAACTGGGCTGCATTTATCATTTGAGTCTGCGTTATTAGGAAACTAATAACTAAAACTTCATATTGCTGGTGGGAGTTGGGTTTAGCCAGTAATTCAAATTTGAAGATGTTTTCTTGCATGTTGATTTTTCATTTAAATTTCTTTTGATTTTTTTGTTTCTTATTCAATCCATTCTAAATCCTTACTGCTGGTTGCTTCTTGATCAAATTTATTTTGAGAAATTGGGTCATTCTTCTGATGTAAAAAATCTTCTTCAACAATATCTGTATTAGATCTCTTATACTTGTTAGCACTCGTATAGACCTTTTTCGTTCTGACTGGGGAGCATTCTAAATCCATCTGATCGGTATCCGTATCTAAAATTTTTGACATTTTCAAGTAATGGTTATTAATTCCCCCGTAGGGGAATATTTCTCTATTACGTACTCACACAGGAATGTTTCTATTCGAATTTTTAGACCAGTATCATACAATTCCTTTAAATTTAATAGTTCTCAGTATTGTGAATGTCACAATATTTTGTTTTTTTTGGGAGAGTCCGGAATTGTTGTGGTCAATGATCGCTTACCCATCGTCACATACCCATCTATGTTTGAGCACTTTTTTGCGCTCGACTAGCAGTCCATGTAATATAAGGTCCTTTGATGGAGAAAATATAATTAAAACAAAAAGTGCAACTGCTTTATCTCGCTCACTCACGCGGCTCTTTTTTTTGCGTTGCGTTGCATCTTTGACTCTAGCGCGTACGGTGATGAGGGAAGTTTTTCTTGGCATCTGTGTTGCGTACCGTTTCTTGCATGACACGTCCTTATCTGCGTACTGATTCTTTCTTTACCTGGACACGTCACGTCTCTACCTATGTGTATTTTGTATGATTTTGTGTACGTAAGCTTTACTCACAATTATATCACTATCAGAGTGGTCGTTGAGTAATGCGAATATATTTATATTATCAAAATATATTAAATACAACATTCATACATACTCCCGCTCTTATTATTTAAGTCAGGTTACTCCAATTATTAATTGTCTTTGTCCTTCCTTGGTCGTCCTCTCTTCCTTATTGGATCGTGTTTCATCGTCACCTTGATATAAATAAAGTGCTCAAGTGTGGTAGACGTCAATTATTTCTTCTCGTTCGGTGGTGCTGTAGTTCTCCTCTGCTGGCGTTAGAAGTCGGCTGACATACTCCACGGGGTCTTGAATCAATCCTGTGCGTCAATGCTATTCTAATGTGGATCTGCAAAAAGGAAGAAGCGCAGTATCAAACTAGCTGTAAGTGGAATTCTGTCTTAAGGCAATTAAGGCATCGTGCCTTAAGGCAAATTGCTGGAACTTCCGTACCAAAAATTATTATTTTTTTAATAACAATTAACATTTTTGAAAAAAATTTACTTTGAAAAAATAAGATTTGTGAGAAACTATAAATTGGACAAAAAATTACTTTTTGAAAAAAAATAATTTTTTTTTTAATTTTTTTTTTTAACTTTTTTTTGAACAAAAAAATGTTTTCTTTATTTTGATATATTTTGCAAGATCTAAACTTTTTTTCAAAGCAATCGTACTGCTTTAACTGCATAAAGACGAAATATCAAAGGGCGTAAGCGCCGCGTCGCCGTCTAACGCGTAAACATTGGTACGGAACCCATAGGAATGTAAACTAAATTTATACTTATTGTTAAAATCTCTATAAAATATCTGATAATTTGATGTGCATATGTCTAATGATCATTTTTGACCGCCAAATGGCATTTTTTTTTACTTTTTTCATTAGATCTCCGAAACCGCTAGACCTGCCTTTATGAAAATTTGATCGGTTTCTTGACCTTGTCAATACAAGTAAAATGTTTTTTGAATTATCAAATCGGACGCTCCGTTCTCTTAAAAACTGAGTTACCGTTTTCAGCACTTTTTGCCCCATATCTTTGGAACGGCTAGATCTGCCTTCGCCAAAAAATAATCAGCACGTCTCCTTATCAATACGAATCGAATGTTTTTTGAATTATTCAAATCGGTTGATCGGTGTTCCCGAAATCGTCGACGAAAATTTGTATCCGCACATACATACACACACGCACACACACACACACACATACACACGCGCACATACACACATACATCCATTTTTTCTAAGATGTCGAGAAATGCAAAAATTTTCATTTTCGATTTTTTTGCGATTACTATAACTTGCCCTACGGGAAGTTAAAAAGAAGTATACTAATAAATGAATTTGAATAAAAGATATTTTATATAGAAAGGGTTAGTAAAATTTATTAAATAATAAAATTTAGGGAAAAGATGACATGAATGAGAGGCAGATGATTATTCTGAAATATCATAGAAATATTGAGAATTTTACCATAGTATTGTTCAATTTATGATTATTTAATTTTTGTATGTGAAGTGGCAGTAAGTTAAAAAGTTGAATTCCAAACCCGTCAATTGAGTTAAAAGACATGCAAGTTTAAATACTGGTGCTTTAATTGTTAAGTTTTTTGTCTTGTAATGAGAATTCGACATTGAAGACAAATTGAAACGTTCGGGATTATTTTTTATAAACGATAAAGTAATGAGCAAAAATATACTTGAAACGGTAAGGATACTATGTTGACGAAAAATGTTTTTACAAGAAGATAAAGAACTAATAGAAAAAATTATTCTTTGAAGTTTGAAAATGCGGTTAAGATGGAGAGAACCCCATAAAACTGGATTCCATATGCGATGTGCAAGTAAAAATTGGAGTAGTAGTTTGAGAGAAGACAATTCAATCTAACCTTAGATTTAAAGACTTTTAACATAAAACACGTTTTCGTTAAATTAGGTGTCAGTATAGAATCAATGTGATAGTCCCAATTTAAGTTTTTCTGCAATTGTATGCCTAAAAACTTCGAAGAGAGAGAGAGAGAAGAAAATTTGAAAAGAGTATCGTTTACGTTCAGCGAGCTTATCTCATTATTAATTTTATTAACAGTACGAAATGACATTATTTGGGTTTTATCATTATTGAGTAAAAGATTATTGGATTTAAACCAATTGGAAATTAAAGCTATTACCAAATTTAATTTACTATTTATTTCTTCCAAAGAATTTTCCTTAACAATAATACTAGTGTCATCAGCAAAAAGAATAAATTTACAAAGATCTGAAGAATTTGGAAGATCATTTATATATATATATATATACAAGAAATAATAAAGATCCAAGTATTGAACCTTGAGAGACACCGAGTTTGATATTTAATTTGTCTGATATTATTACCGAACCATCATCATCGTTCAAGTAAACAGACTGAGTCCTATTTGATAAATAAGATGAAAATAAGTCAAGATTCTTATTGCAAAAGATATCATGGGAGATACTATCAAAGGCTTTAGACAAGTCATAAAAAATTGTAATGCAAAAGCTACCATCTCCAAAAGAATGAACAATATCATGTAATAAAGAGTATATAGAATGGGATGTTGAGCATTTTTGTCGAAATCCAAAATGATTTTTAAATAGAATACCGTTTTTTGTTAAAAAGTTATTAAGCCGACTATGTAAGATTTTTTCAAAAAGTATTCAATAATGAAATTGGTGTAACTTAAGAGGCTTAACTTTTGAATGTTTAAGATGATTTGGATAGGTGCCTTTATCG